CCACATGCTAGCAGGCATGCCCAGAGACTGTTGCGCGGGATGCTTTCTCCAGGTCGACAAAACACATATAAACCGGATATGCGAATTCTCATGATTTCTGGACTATTTGGCATAAGGCAAAGATCCCGTCAGCGTTGCATCGACCAGAACTGAAGGCACACTGATCTTCTATCCCAGAGTCAGATTTTCTGGGGTATTTCATTTTTAGCACCTTTGCGTTGACCTTCCCCGGTAGGGATGCCCAGATAACTGGAGCACTCGCTGTGGTCTTCCTTCGTGAAGAATAGGGGAACAACAAGCCCCGTTCTCCTGCCTATTGGTATCTTCGCCGTAGAGATTGCAGTCGGAGAGACACATGAGAACTACAACTTGCCTTGCTCGCCTAAATAATGCATTTCAAGGAGTATTTCATTGATTCCAATAGCCTTGAAATTTTTCAGGCTTTTTATAGACTCTGAAAGACAAATACTCGTTTCTTGCTGCTCTTCGGACGAGTCTTTCTGCGTTTGCGCAAAGTACTCTCTCCATCGCGAATCATCATGTCCTCGTCCTTGGCAAGAGGGCGTGCCGGCTTCTCCTTCAACATCTTCAGACTGCTCCTCTTTTCATGTTGGCGGCGGCAGGTGGTCTGCCAAAATACCGTTTGCCGTTTGAAAAATCTACTCCACTTCATTCTGGTTATACACTCTTAAACTGTGATAGTTCTCATCCTCCAGTTTCGTAATTAATTTTGAATTCGATCAGTTTTTTTCTGTGAATGCTATTTTGAAATTTGCTACTCTGGCTGCAAACTTTGAAAAATTTTCGAGCAGTCAATTAGAATCCAGATATGCAAAATACCTTAACGTGATGGCCGCGAGTATACTTCGTCGCGTCTCTGTACAGGCGATACATGATCAGACCGTTCGGGTCGAGGTTGTCGACTATCGGTGACGCGGTCTAAAGTAACACAACGTAAAAAATCAATGATCCAAGGAATAACAAAAATAAATTTAAATTTAAATTTACACTAAGATATAAAATTAGACTTACGAAACCCTGCTCCGCCGTGTATATAACAACTTCGAACATTGGATACCCGATTTGTTGAATGAAATATTCAACAGCCGGCCGCTTTTTGAATCGCCAAC